AATTGTTAAATGCCCTTTTATATCTCTGTCCATTTTAAGTGTTTGATCACCACATTTGAGTGATCATTGCAAAAAAAATGTGTTTATGTATATATTGTTTATGTATATACTGTATTCTATATATAGTATCAGTCAAATATGTGGACACACGAATGGGAAAGTGTCCAAACTTTTGACTGGTACTGTACTATAATATACACAAAGAATATCGGCCGATATATATCGATATCTGCCTTTTTTTTTTACGCCCTAATATCGGTATCGGCCCCCAAAAAAAACATACCGGTCGGGCTCTAGAAAACAGGCTGTTGAATTTCAGTTGGAAACACTAAATTATGACTGTTTTGAAGCAGTCAACCTTGACTAACATTATAAGAAAAAGAAAGTGTTGAATATGTGCTCTTTAAGAGACATTGTAAAAAATGTAGAAATCTCAAGTGTAAAGACACAGTTTAGTCTTAGCAGAGCGCATTACTATACAAAACCATTTTCCAGTAAAAACATCTATACATCCTTAAACATGATAAGAAGCAAAAGATACGCTTAATTTGAAGGGAAAACAAGTTTATTTTTTCCCGTCATTTTTGGAGGTCGGTCTGCGGAGAGATGCTGCAGAGCTTTGATTATGACAGTAAAATATCACTGTGAGCAAAGGGCAAACACTTTACGAGACTCAAATATCAAAGGTGAAAGATTTCAAAGATTTCAATGTCTCTTACCACTTGAGTTCTGGGAATTGTTGATGTCAGCACGACTGGACTGGCCTGACTGGCTAGACATTTTCCCTTCCATTTTAAGACCGTAATTTCCTTCTGCAAATGCAAAAATCAAAGCAGCTTAAATAATACATATCAGTCAAAGATAATAAATATTGAAATGCTCATTTCGCCCTTCTTAGTGCATCACTCAAAACAAAACAGGCACTTTCCATGAATAGGGAAGAAATGGGATTTTAAAATAATTTCTCTTTGATTTGGAGAAATTAAATAATGGAGAATAATGGAGAAATTAAATAAAACAAAGTGTTCCAAAAGCAGCGCTTCCTTGACCAATACTTTCATTTAAGCTTATATCATTTTATAACTCCCAAATAATTAGTGCTGGACTTCATTCATTAGAGTGGCAGATTTAATCTATATGGGTGTATCAAAAGCAAAATAGTTTAAAATAATTCTATTTATTGGGCCAGTTGTCACTCACACCAGTACGTGTTTATTGCTTATATATTCTTATGATTGCATGGAAAATGCTGTATGCACGTAGGTATTTTAGACCCTTGCTTTCAAGCCCAATGTGGGTACTTTATTCATGGACAGTGCCAACCAACCAAATACAACAATAGTGGTAACATATTTGAGAGTAATGATGGTGATGGGCATTTATAAGCATCACAGACAAGTGATACGTTCTTATATTGCTACATTTCTGGCAATGACTATGCCAATAGTAGAGATAGTCTGAAATGTTTCTAATGCATAAGATTAACCGCCCAACATCTCTCACTGACAATTAATCATAAGTATCCATAATTAATCATTTAAAAAAAAGCATGCTTTACTGCAATCAACCATCTCACATCTCGCAGCAAAACCACGACTCTCTAGAAATTCTCATTTAGAATAATCAGTCACTTTGAAACAAACTGAAATTTAATTCTGGTAGCATCGCTACAGTCTCTCTGACCCATTTCTATATTTTCACCATACTTTAAATAGCTTTCAATGTCAAACTCCTCTGCACATCCTCAATGCAGGACTAAGAGATAAATGAGAGGAGAGAAGGACAAATATAATAAGAGAGACTTTACAGCGAACACCTCAGCAGAGCGCAATAACAATTTGAGATCCAGTACAATTTATTGCAGACAGATTGGGTAGTTTTACAACAGAAATTATGATCATCTTGGTAAATTAAGTTACCTAGTAGTTTTGTGAACAAGCTTCCACCATCTCCATATTTAATGATTAGAGCTTCCTTTACTGTGAGTGTCTAATCTAACTTCTACACGCCTCTATTAATCTATGAGCAGAAAACTGCCATAAACACAAGATACTGGTAATGAAGTGAGAACTTACTCATTGGAGCGTGAAGAGCCACATGTTCCTGATAGGGGTTGAAGTATTTGTACTGTTTTCCACAGAAAGTGTCCAAACTTTTGACTGGTACTGTACTATAATATACACAAAGAATATCGGCCGATATATATCGATATCTGCCTTTTTTTTTTACGCCCTAATATCGGTATCGGCCCCCAAAAAAAACATACCGGTCGGGCTCTAGAAAACAGGCTGTTGAATTTCAGTTGGAAACACTAAATTATGACTGTTTTGAAGCAGTCAACCTTGACTAACATTATAAGAAAAAGAAAGTGTTGAATATGTGCTCTTTAAGAGACATTGTAAAAAATGTAGAAATCTCAAGTGTAAAGACACAGTTTAGTCTTAGCAGAGCGCATTACTATACAAAACCATTTTCCAGTAAAAACATCTATACATCCTTAAACATGATAAGAAGCAAAAGATACGCTTAATTTGAAGGGAAAACAAGTTTATTTTTTCCCGTCATTTTTGGAGGTCGGTCTGCGGAGAGATGCTGCAGAGCTTTGATTATGACAGTAAAATATCACTGTGAGCAAAGGGCAAACACTTTACGAGACTCAAATATCAAAGGTGAAAGATTTCAAAGATTTCAATGTCTCTTACCACTTGAGTTCTGGGAATTGTTGATGTCAGCACGACTGGACTGGCCTGACTGGCTAGACATTTTCCCTTCCATTTTAAGACCGTAATTTCCTTCTGCAAATGCAAAAATCAAAGCAGCTTAAATAATACATATCAGTCAAAGATAATAAATATTGAAATGCTCATTTCGCCCTTCTTAGTGCATCACTCAAAACAAAACAGGCACTTTCCATGAATAGGGAAGAAATGGGATTTTAAAATAATTTCTCTTTGATTTGGAGAAATTAAATAATGGAGAATAATGGAGAAATTAAATAAAACAAAGTGTTCCAAAAGCAGCGCTTCCTTGACCAATACTTTCATTTAAGCTTATATCATTTTATAACTCCCAAATAATTAGTGCTGGACTTCATTCATTAGAGTGGCAGATTTAATCTATATGGGTGTATCAAAAGCAAAATAGTTTAAAATAATTCTATTTATTGGGCCAGTTGTCACTCACACCAGTACGTGTTTATTGCTTATATATTCTTATGATTGCATGGAAAATGCTGTATGCACGTAGGTATTTTAGACCCTTGCTTTCAAGCCCAATGTGGGTACTTTATTCATGGACAGTGCCAACCAACCAAATACAACAATAGTGGTAACATATTTGAGAGTAATGATGGTGATGGGCATTTATAAGCATCACAGACAAGTGATACGTTCTTATATTGCTACATTTCTGGCAATGACTATGCCAATAGTAGAGATAGTCTGAAATGTTTCTAATGCATAAGATTAACCGCCCAACATCTCTCACTGACAATTAATCATAAGTATCCATAATTAATCATAAAAAAAAAGCATGCTTTACTGCAATCAACCATCTCACATCTCGCAGCAAAACCACGACTCTCTAGAAATTCTCATTTAGAATAATCAGTCACTTTGAAACAAACTGAAATTTAATTCTGGTAGCATCGCTACAGTCTCTCTGACCCATTTCTATATTTTCACCATACTTTAAATAGCTTTCAATGTCAAACTCCTCTGCACATCCTCAATGCAGGACTAAGAGATAAATGAGAGGAGAGAAGGACAAATATAATAAGAGAGACTTTACAGCGAACACCTCAGCAGAGCGCAATAACAATTTGAGATCCAGTACAATTTATTGCAGACAGATTGGGTAGTTTTACAACAGAAATTATGATCATCTTGGTAAATTAAGTTACCTAGTAGTTTTGTGAACAAGCTTCCACCATCTCCATATTTAATGATTAGAGGTTCCTTTACTGTGAGTGTCTAATCTATAACTTCTACACGCCTCTATTAATCTATGAGCAGAAAACTGCCATAAACACAAGATACTGGTAATGAAGTGAGAACTTACTCATTGGAGCGTGAAGAGCCACATGTTCCTGATAGGGGTTGAAGTATTTGTACTGTTTTCCACAGTACTCACACGTGTAGCTTCCCGTTTCTACAGAACACAAAATACAGTAATTAGTCAACATGCAGTTATTAGTCAAAAACACATTACCGCTGATAAACGTAATGCTTCTGAGATTAATTTTTCCACTTGAACCATGAAGACTTATTAGTATCAGATCTCGGTTTCTTAAAGCGGTAGTTCACCAAAAAATGAACAAATTCGGTCATCATGACTCACCCTCATGTGTGTCCATACAATTCAAAACTAGATCCCATTGGAGGGGGAAAAAAATTAAAAATCTTTATAGAAATGTACTCAGGTTTGCAGTCACATGAGTTACATGACAGAATTATTATTTTTCGGTGAACTATTCATTTAAGCCAGTTATTCTCATCCAAGGGGTCATGATTTAAAGAAAGACAAAATAAGCATTAAAATAAACTTTGCGCTTTGGTACTTTTAATATGAAACAGAGTCTCAGATTTCAAATTCTGTCCATTGTATTGCAGTATTCAAACAATAAATGCCGTTCTGGCGCTGTTTTGTGGAGTGATCGCTGTAGCGCACCTCAGTTCAGTAAAAGCAGCAGCGCGAGGCGCACGTGAACTGATCATCTCCTCCACATTAATACC